AGGTCCACAGCAGGTGGAGGGGGGGGGGAGGGATGGGAACCGGGGAGGGGGAGAGGGGAGAAGTTCATTTACCCACCTAATAAAGAAAAGGTAGAACAAAAAGTGTTACTAGGCATCCTGGGAAGCCAGAGAGGAGCCACCAAATGATATCCAGGAAATCAAGGGCCCCTCTTGGAGTTCTTGGTCTCATTAATGAAAGAATGGGCTCAAATGGAAGCCCAGGGACAATTTGTGTGAATTTTAAAGAAAAACCCTAGGAACAAGCCGTAAATCTATCATCAGCCTAGAGGACGAGGATGGAGGAGGGAAGTGGGGAGAAAGGCCATGCCATTTGTAAGAAGCTGGCCTGGAGCTCAGCCTTGTGAGAAAAAACAAGCTATCAAAGGTAGCCAGCTCACCCAAGAACCAGTATTTCATAAACCTGCTCCACCGTTAACCTCCCGCATCAGGTAAACTCTTGTTTGTCTGAGGTCTTGTGCCATCTGGCAGTCTCTCTGAGTAGTCAGCACTGAATTACTGAAGGACAGCTGGCAGCTAAAAGCTCACCACAGAGCAATTACTAATTAGTTGTTAAACTCCAACTCAGGCTCCAAGGCAGAGAAAACATTGTTGATGGTTAGAATTAACATAGGAGGGTTTTTTGGTTTTGTTTTCTTTTACTTTTTTAAAAATGATTCTTTGTGGATTTCATATTATGCATCCAGATCCCACTGATCTCCCCGACCCCTCAAATCTGCCCTCTCTGCCCTCTGCCCTGACTACCTCTCCCCTAGCACAAAACCAAATTTAAAAGAAAAACCAAAAACCAACCAACCAACCACACAAACAAACAAACAAAATTCTCAGTGTGGAAGCTGTAGTGTGGCCCAGTGAGTCACACAGTGTACCCTTTAGTCCATACATCTTTACTTGTAAGTGTTCATTGCTTTGAGTCATTGGTCTGGATCCAGGCCTCTGGCTTCTGCTGCACTATCGATAAGGGTCCCTTAGTAGGACTCTTCTTGGATATCCTGTTGTTGTCCTGTGTTGTGGAAATCTTGCAGTTTTGGATCTGTAGTTCCTGCCCCTTCACATGCTTCAGCAGTTTGTAGATGAGGTGGATGTTGAGGTGGAGCAGCTCATAGTCCTGGTTCTGGGACTAGGTGGTAGCTGGATTGGTCAGCCTGCTAGTTTTCCGTCATCATCACCACCTGGGTGAGCTCTTCAGCACTGCCCAGGCTAGCTCACCCAGTGTAGCAAACAGCAAAGAGCAGGA